ATTTCGTCTAATCCGTGTATCTTTTCATTGCTTTGATAACGATATAAAAGTTTCACACGAACGAAAACAAAGGAAATGGGTAGACAATAACAGGATGACGAATTGTAACCGACTAGATAGCGATTAGATTCGAATTGCTATCACTGTAGTACCCTATAGGCTAAGAAAACATGGTATATTTGTTTTAATATTTCATCGATGTCCAATCTTCTCTTCTTAATTAAAATGTCCCGTCTAGCATTTTTTCATAATTAGAGAAACAAGCATGGGACAAAGAAAACGATAAAACGTGTTTTCTCCAGTTTCGAAATCGTGGACGGAACATTTTGATTAAAGGCCGAGCGATAAAAGTGTACATTGTTACAGAAAACAAAGCAACGCGCAAAAGCCGAAAATCTTATTATTTTCGATAAATAAAGCTTTTTAGCGTATTATTATTCGGATTATTAATCGGAAACGAGATCAACGTCTACTTTTAAATCTTTATAAATATCGTGATTCCAGTGCATCGTTCAATTTTCCGAGCTACTAATTATTCTCATTAGCTAAATAACTTTGTTAGCCTGTTGGACGCGCTCGTTCATGAAGCATTATACCATCGCGTGATTCTTCGTTAGCACGATTTTATCGACTTTCTTCAAAATTTCTCCTTCTAGAAAAGAACGAAATCAAGCGTGTCGAACATAGCAGTTAATTCACCATGTAAATTACATTTAAATTAATTTATTTCTTTTTCTAATAATAAGAGCGGTAACCAAATTTTACAAGAAGTTGGCTAAAATCGACCGTCAAAAACGCTCGATATCAATCAACATCAGAAGTATTTCTGTTTATAAAATCCTCCTTAATCTGTCTCATAAATTTTATTACCACGCATTGACTTCTGAAAATCAATCTAATCGCATATACGAACATTGGTGATCGCGAAGAACAAAATTATTACAGTCTGATCCGTCTTTAATCTTGTTCTTTACGATCACCAATGTTCGTATATGCGATTAGATTGATTTTCAGAAGTCAATGCATGGTAATAAAATCGGCATTTGCAATTATCAGATCTTATAAAATTGTTTTGCCACTTGACAAACTCTTTACTTTCGGATTTATGAGACAAACTAAGGAGGATTTTATAAAGAGAAATACTTCTTTTACAAATTCTAATTACAAAATTATTACAGTCCGATCCGTCTTTAATCTTGTAATTAAAGTACATTTTATCAAAGATAAGCCAGTGTTCGAATATTTTTGAGCGCTAGTGGTAATACACGTGGAAATGTCCGGGAGCGATCTTGTTAGAGGACAACGTAAAATTTCATCCGAATAGAAACGATCGTACTCGTATGTCTCTTCTTACTTATGATCGAGTGTAGTGTACGTAAGATGAAGTTCTTTGATCTTTGCGAAATCGAAAAATATTCTGTTTGTTCGTCGTATCAGCAAGGTTTTAAACATTTGCACATTTAAGGCAATTTCTCACTATTGACAAAGCGATTACGGTTGATGTCCTACTTTTTCATATTTCATGAAGTCCTTGCGGTTGTCAACGATGAAGAATATCCTTGTGGTTCGTTTACAGTGTCGGACGGAGGGAGATGAAATGCTGAAGAAAGAAGAAACTTTGGATTTTTACTGACTGTTGATAGAAAGAAAAACGTTGTCACCATAGACTCGCTAAAGACGAGAACATTAAATATTCCGTAGGTAGGTTAGGCCATTGTCGATTGAGAAATCAAACGGAAGACACGAACGTGGCTCATCGTTTGTTCGTGGATTGCGAAATGTAGGATCCGACGTTACATCAATTCCTGACTTGCTCTATTAGAGAATACTATATTCAATGAACAGAATTTGTCCTCTTGCAGGATAAATAGTTTTTAACAACATTGCAATATTCCATTGCATTTTTCTTAAAATGCCATAAGTATCTCTGTATAATATTTATATATCGCAGAATTTTCCATGGAGCGATGTTAGCTTGCTTATTCTATGGATAAACGTAAGTAAAACATGTTATATAAACGTAAACTTGTGAATGCCTTAAAAGCTACTACAAATACTAAACAACAAGGGATTGGTTTTCTCTTCGATGGAAAATAGAAACAGATTGGCGATACTTACATGTATTAATTCCATTCCAAAATATGTAAAAATTAAATTCATGAGATTTTGAATTTCTTGTTGATTTTCTCTAATTTCGATGAATGAGTTACGAATATTTGCATTAATTCCTAACATGTATTAACTTTTGTCACGTAAATTTTTTCCTATAACATTCCCCACAAATAAACGTCCTCCAGAGGCATAATATCCAACGATCTTGAGGGCCAAAAACTAGTCTTTGTTGCTGGTCTAGTCTAGATGTTCTTGTCACCCTCTTGAATATTTAAACAGTATTAATAACGATAACTATATATACATATATAGAGACTAATATTATAAAGTAGTATGAAATTAACATGATAACTGCATATTTGCATAACATCAAACCTATTAAATTATTCCTTTCTTCAACTATTTCATGTTGAAGTACTTTCTTTCAGCCACGAAGATATTAAAGCCAGAAAATCAACAAAAACGAATTCATTCCTTTTCCCGTGTAGTCTTCATAATCTTCATTAAAGAAAACATTAATCCGTTATTAGTTCGTATTTTATAAGTCTACGTTTATATAAGTCCTCTCACTCTTACTCATAGAATATAGTATATAGCTTGTTTCGCGAATAACTATATTCGTTATATATTGTATAAAAATGTCCGTGCTGTTCTTAGAAAAATACAACAATATTATAATATTATTGAAATTATTGGTTTGCATTTGGAAATTATTGCAGTAATCGAGAGATTTGAGATCGTTGACAGAAAAGTTCACGTTTCATCACTGACATAATTCCAAAACCTAACCCTAACCTAACCCCAATTGTTGATTTTCCGTTTTTATTAAACAATATATCGATCGAATGAAACCACGTTATGTCGAAGGTTACGTTCTCCAAGAGAATAAGATGTTTAATTTTATATTAGATTACGAGTCGTGACTAAATTGAAAATTGATAAATTATAAAAATGTATTGATCACTCATGGTATGATGTTGGGAAAGGTTACGTTGAGCTGGTAAAAATTTACGTGTATCAAAATCGAACGCATAGCGTGGGTGAACCACAAGGGAACGTCTTATATTTAGCTACTCGTATATTAACGTCGAGTAGCGTTTTATTGCAATGTGCTACTCTCGTTCACCCCGGTCACGCTTTCTCCGAGAAACTCGAGACAGAGCTCTGCATTTCCATTTGTACAATCTACAGCAATTATATTTTAGATCTTCGAGAAAGTAATACATACTCGTATTTCATATTCTATCGATTTGCAATTAATACGTATATGTGGACACAATGTTTACACGTACCTTGTGATATTCCATTTCAAGATCAATTTCAACTTCGTTTTTATATTAGACATAGATTTTGCATGCTTCTGTAATACACAGGTATTATTAAAATATTTGAATCAATGGCAAACTAATGATCAAAAACAATACTTACCTATTATCTTCTTGTGAAATGAATAAATATACCTATAGAACATACATTCCTTATTTCAGGATTTATTACGCAAGAGTATATTAAAATTAGATAGAATGGGCAATTGATCGAAATGTTGACTAATTTTAGATATCATTGATAGAATTACACAATCACGATAGACTTACTATTAATTACGAAGAATCATTTCTGTTTTATCTATAGGTCGACGATCAAACGAATCGAGGATGACGAATTCCTTAAAAACCAAAACTGTCTCAAAAAAAATAAAGGTTGTCATTTACAGATGACGATTTTTCTTTGATCGTATATTAATTTCTAAAAGTAAATTTTATCATATCACGATTTATTATTTCACGATAACTTTAACGAAGAAAAAAAATTGTCTTGAATATATTTATAACCTTATAACTAATACTAATATCTTTGTAACTATAATTGTTATACGCCGTTAAAAATAAAGAAAGTATCTACATATTTTTATGCGGTAGTACACGTATTTAACGAAATGAAAAATAAGAATTTATAGGTGATTATATATATCAATATATTAATTTACTGGTTAATATATTTTGTAATAATCTTACAAGTTTCTCATCGTTGATAATCAATAGTACCGAGCATCTAAGTTTTTGTATTTAACGTTGGGCAATGTGCTAGGTATTTAACCGTCGAATCAGCGATACGTGAAACATCAGGGACGAATTATTCGTTTCCTATGAGCATAATTTCCCCCGCTGTTTGAGCGAGGGACCTCACCTTGCTCTTCACCTTCGTGCTTATACTTTAGTTGATTTAACCAACGATGACCTTGAATAACGTTTTTAACCGCGGATACAGGTATAGGAAGAAAGAATTAATTTAGACATACTTGAAGTTATTTGTCAAGGTAACTTGGAATAAAATAAAATTGTTACCTTTAATTAATCGTTGTTTATACCATCACATATAATGACCCTACAACAAAAAAAATGTCAACGTAATATTTATTTACATGTGTGAGCGTGTATGTCACAGCAATGTCAATTCAAGAATAGTATTGATTATATGGCAAACTTTAATTAAAAAATGCAGATCTTTAAATTTAATCGTCTAAATTCAAATTCAATTTTAAAACATGTAAATTTATAAATTTAAATTTCGGAAAGTCAAATCGATTCTATTGAATATCGATAAGTTTCATCGAGAAGTTTGCTATTAGTCGAAATTGTGAAAGCATGTAATGGCGTCCAGTGGACGCTAGCAACAGCTGTTCCGTTGTTTGGAACGTATTTGGAAGCAAAATTTGTGTATCTTATTGTCAAATTAATTGAATATCTACTTTGTGATGTTACTGGCATAAATGACAAGTTTGAAAAAATTAACATATTACGTGTGTACGAAGAAATAGAGAAACGAATGTGATTGGAAAAATAAATATAAATATAAGGTTATAGTACTGTATTTTTCATGTTTCCATGTTGTTAAAAATGATTTTCAGCGTCTCGCGTTTATAAAAATTGATTAATAAACTAGAAGTTATAGAAAATTAATTTTATAAGAAAGAAAAACGCGATAAAATGTCAAGTAGGAACGAAAGCAAGGGGCCAATTCCGCCCCGATGGCTTCATTGTCCACGGAAAGCAGTAAAACTAATACAGAATAAATTTCTCGCTTTCAAGACTCCGCTATCGTCTGCATTTGATAGCCAAGTGCCAGAAGAATGTCGTTTCTCAGTGGATATGTTATTCGCATCGTTAAAGAGTCAGAAAATAAAATTAGGTCTATGGATTGACCTAACCAACACTACGAGATTTTATGACAAGGAAAGTTTAGAAGCGTATGGTTGCAAATATTTAAAGTTGCAGTGCAGAGGTCACGGTGAAACTCCCTCTGAAGAACAAACAAGAATTTTTGTGCAAATTTGCAGAAATTTTATATCGTTTAACCCGTTGGAAGTTATCGGTGTTCATTGCACGCATGGTTTCAATAGAACTGGCTTCCTTATAATCAGTTATTTAGTAGAAACTGATGGTACTAGCGTTGACGCTGGTTTGGCAGAATTTGCTACTGCAAGACCACCAGGCATATATAAAGCTGATTATATCCAAGAACTGTTTAGGAGATACGATGATGTGGAGGATGCTCCTGATCCTGCTCCTAGACCAGCTTGGTGCTTAGAATATGATGATTCCAATGTAGAAGATACAGATGAAGGCACTAGTGCTGATAATGATAATTATAATCAAGACGTACCCAATAAAAAAAGAAGGCGTGAGTTTAATAACAAAAATCCAATATTCATGGCTGGTGTACCTGGAGTAACTCCTATTTTAGAGGATAGAAAATTAAGTGGAATACAGAGACGTGTTCAAGGTATTTGTTCTTGGAAATCAACTGGATTTCCTGGTTCTCAGCCAGTTTCTATGGATGAAGATAATATTAGATTGCTACATGAAAAACCATATAGAGTTTCATGGAAAGCAGATGGGACCAGGTATATGATGATGATTCAAGCAGATGGAGAAATTTATTTTGTAGATAGAGATAATAGTGTATTTCAAGTTAATGGAATGACTTTTCCACATCCAAAAGACATATCTAGGACTCTTAAAGATACATTATTGGATGGTGAAATGGTGATTGACAAGGCAAATGGTAAAGAATATCCAAGATACTTAGTTTATGATGTAGTGATGTACGATGGCAAAGATATTAGCAAATTACCATTCCATCCTGAGCGTTCTTGCATCATTGAACGAGAAATTATAGGTGGCAGACATAGAGCAATGAAGGAAGGAAAATTGAGAAAAGAAATGGAACCCTTTTCAGTACGATTAAAACATTTTTGGGATGTGACACAAGCTGCTAATTTATTAAGTGAAAAATTTGCCAAACAACTAGGCCATGAACCTGATGGTTTAATATTTCAACCTGCTAAGGAACCCTATTGTCCAGGGCTTTCACCAGATGTTTTAAAATGGAAACCCTTGTCACAGAATTCTGTTGATTTTAGATTAAAAATAATTACAGAATCTGGAGAAGGAATTCTTCCAAAGAAAATTGGCTATCTCTATGTAGGTGGTATGAAAGAACCATTTGACAAAATGAAAGTTACCAAACAAATAAAAGATTTAAATAATGCAATTATTGAATGTAAATTTGAAAATGGCCAATGGGTTTTCATGCGTGAAAGAACTGATAAATCATTTCCTAATTCGTACAATACGGCTCAATCTGTATGCAAAAGCATTATAAAACCCATAACAACTGAACGACTTTTAGATTATATTAATAGGCACAGATTTATAATAGATGATTCTGATCTTATGCCACCTCCGAATAAAAAACGTAACATATAACTGACTACACATAGTTTTAATGATACTATAATGTATTTAAGATTTAAGAAATAATAGGTTTATTGTGAGATTTTAATTGGTCTATAAGCATGAAATACATGTATCTAGCCTATTGTACTTGTATTGTATTGAAACCTGTTTCAATTGCTGTAAAACTTTAACAATCGTAAATTGTTCGCTCAATAAAGATACTCTGTAATAAATTAAATGTCTTTTTGGTCTTGCATAAGATACTTATCACCTAATCCTTTCCTTGTCAGAATTATTTTACGTCTTTTATTAGAATAGTTTTGTAAGACTGTGATCTCTAATTTTTCAGATAGGACTGTTTTGTTATGGTGCACAAAAGAATTGACTATAAAAGAAAAAAGATCGCTACGTGTTAATATAGAATTCGATCATGCGACATTAGTACGCTGGTCTCCTGATGGTAAAGCTTTTCTCATTCATAAAGCTGTAGCAAATACTATCGAAGTTTATAAAATTTCCAAGAAACCAGATGGTACCTTAGCCTCTGCAATTAAAACTTTAGAATTTCCAAAGGTATGTACTAAATATCTCTTTATTATATTATTTTTTATACATAAATTTCATATCCTTTATTATTAATTTTTTAGCGACATACAGAAGATGTTGTTGGCATGGATATTGCATGTACAGGAAAATATATTATTACATGCAGTAAAATGAACGATCTTGTAGTATGGGACCTTAAAGGACAAGTTCTTGCAACTATAGAATTGCATCTTGGATCGACCTATCGAGCACGAATATCACCTTGTGGACGTTTCGTCGGTACATCCGGTAATTCTTTAGAATATTTTATCTTAGCTCTAACTAACACTTATTCCATGTCTCAATAATGATATTTTATTGTTTAGGGTTCACTCCAGATGCAAACATATGGGAAATAGTATTTAGTAAATCAGGAGAATTCAAACAAGTAGTAAAGGCTTTCGATCTTGCTGGTCACTCATCTGGAATACTTGATTTTACTTTCAGTGCTGATAGTAGTTGTATGGCTACTGTATCAAAAGATGAAACTTATCGTTTATACGATATAAAAAGTAATAAATTGAGGTATTCTTTTCGTAAATTATTTGTGTCAAATTGTGCTACATTTGCCAATTTATACGTATATAGTTGAATTCGAAAAAGGAGAGGATCCTCATATACTTCAAACTGGACCATGGGAAAGTACAATAACAGCTAATATTGCATTATCTCCTAATACTGAAGTTTTAGCGATAGCTCATGGATCTTCGTTAAGTTTTTATTCTACAATTACTGGCTTGTTGGATACTACCATAGAAGATATTTTTCTGGGTATTTTTTCATTATAATATATAAATACTACATTTTTTATATTTATATATATATAATATTACATTACAGGACCTATTACGAGCCTAGCTTTTGATGCTGTGGGAGAATATGTTTTAGTTGCTGGAGATAGACATATAAAAGTTTTCCACAATGTTGCTGGTTATCGAGTGGCAATCGAATCTGCAAGACGTAAACTTACACAAAAGCAAACTTCAGCTACAAAGGAACGTTTGGAGAAACTTATTCAAAATAACAGAAAGTTTCTTCAAGCAATGGAAGAGAAGCGTCCTTAATGAATTAAACATAAACTTTTTTAAAGACAAATAATTTTAAAATTGCATTTAAAGAATTGTTTGTAATATAATTTTCTAATGTATTTGAATAAAGAGATTCATACGTGAATTCATTTGTTTATAATAATAAATTAAAAACATTTGATACGTTTAAAGAACTTTATTGTTTTTGTAACGTAAATTACGTCATCTACGTAGAAGTTATAGTTTTGAATAATGCGGGAAGAAACCGATATGTGAACTTTTTTGACCTTGAACAAATAAATATTTGTTTCTGACAACATCATTTCGTTTATTCATATTGCCAGTGATAGATGTGGAGAACGTTATGCCAGCAACAGAAGAGGTTTGTCATTAATGAAAATATCATTTATATCACATTTTCGTATATATTACATACATTTTACAGCAACCAATTTCCCAAGCCGGATGGGATTTCATTACCGATTTAGGTACTTTACCAGAAGATGAAAATATTAGTATGTATGCATATGCTATTTCTATATAAAAGCCTTAAATACTTTTTATCAAATAATAAAATAACAAAAAGCATTTCACAAATAATATTTCTTTTTCAGTTATAGATTTTCTATTACAAAGATTACAACGTGGTCAAATTTATACATGGGTTGGTTCACTACTCCTGACATTAAATCCTAACAATGAAGTATCAACATCTCATTTGTATAATTCTTCAGAATTTAATAAACATATTGATATATCTCATACTACGTATGAAGCAAATCCTCACATATTTGCTGTTGCTGCTAAGGCACATTACAATCTTATCAAGGAACATGGACAAAATGCTCAGGTAGAACATTTAGAAGAGATAGATCATCATAAAAGACATTGATTTTCTTTTTCAAACTTATCAGTATATTATATATTAAGGTAATTGTTATAAGTGGAGAAACTGGAACAGGAAAAACATTCAATGCTTGCAAGTGTCTAGAGTTTCTTAGTAATATTAACAAATGGTCAGTACAATTATCTCAAGGAGATTGTGCACACAATATTATGCTAAGAATTACAGACGCTTGTCGTTTGATATCTACTTTTACAACTGCCTGTACTGAAAAAAATGAAATAAGTTCAAGACATGGACAACTTGTAAAACTTCATTATAAAAGTGGAATTATTTCTGGTGCAACTATTAACTCGTTTCTCTTAGAAAGAAATAGAGTAACAAGAGGTTCAAGCAATTTTCAAATTTTTTATCAGGTTTGATTTATTACATATTCTTATGCAGCTGAAAGTATCTGTAAGAAATACTAAAGAAATATATTTCAGATGATATTTGGAATGTCACCTACAGAACTTGAAATTTTTAATTTATCTAAAGATAAATATTATGATATATTAAATGTTATAGATTGCAATAAGAAGAAATATTTTCAAGAAAGTTTCCAAGATACTCTGAACGCATTGGATATATTGGATTTCAAATCTGATCAAAAAAAGAACATTTTTCAAGTTCTTGCCTTATTAATTCATATGGGAAATATTAAATTTAGAGAAGATGGTGAAATATGTGCAATTGATTTTAGTAATAATAGTATGTTGCACTACTTATCCTATACATATAATACAAGAATGAGAAATTTTATATAACCATATTTGTAGAATCAAAGGAAGCTCTAAAAAGTACTTGTATTCTTAGTTCTTTAACTGAAGATACTATCATGGAATTACTTACTACTATTCTCATAAACCCACAAAGTACTTGGCGGAAACACACTTCGTACCATCGACACCTTGTTAGTGTTGATGCATGTCGCAACAGATTACATAGTATAATTAGATATATGTACGATCTTCTTTTTCATTGGATCTTAAATCATGCAAATAAAACTTTGTCTTTAAAACAACAATATTCACAATGGCTTGGTATGCTACAACACTGAATTTTATATTGAAGTCTTGTCAAATTATGCACATATATATGTATATATTCTTTCTAGGCATACTGGATATCTTTGGTTTCGAATCGTTTACTAAAAACGGAATAGAACAACTTTGTGTAAATTATGCTAATGAGAAAATGCAACAATATTTCATAGAAACTTGTGTGGAAAATAATCGTAATGAGTTACAAGAGGAAGGTTTTATTAAAATTTGCAATCCTTCACATACTATCAATTTATACAAAGAACGTCTAAATGTTATTGAAGAAAATTTATTTTTGACCTTGAATGATGTATGTAAAATATATATATTTAACTGTATATAAAAGTTATCATTGCAGTGATACTGTGGTTATTATATTACAGGCTTGTCAATCACCAGTAGTGATAGATATATTAACAATAATTCAATCAGTATGTAAAAATTTACACAATGCACAAAAAAAATTTTTAAGTGAGAAAGAAGGAAACTTCATTATAGAACATTACTCTGGTCCTGTTACATATTCTATAGAAGATTTACTATCTAAAAATACAGATAAGGTATTAAATATATTTTACGATTCAGAATAAAAATTATTAACAATTTTAAAAATTTGTTATAGGTTCCAAATGAAATATCTCTAATTTTCAGTACAAGTAAGAATAAATTTCTTCGTTCCTTAATCAATTTTGGAGAGGAACAATATTTGCATATTGTAAAGGGATCTATTACAAAAAAAACTATGTTAGCTAAATTAAAATATAATATGGATACACTTATTAAGGAACTTAGAAAATGTGACTTGCATTACGTACGATGTGTTAAACCAAAGTAATATATGTTTTTCTACAATTACTTTTCTATGATATTCTTGTACTTAATAATTAATTTTTTCAGTCGATCGATAAATAATGAATGGGATCGTAAAAACTTCCAAAAACAATTGGCATGTATTGGTATTTTTGATGCTTTACCTTTAGCTAAATGTAAATATCCTATTCGTTTACGTCATCAAGATTTTTATGTTCGTTACTCCAGAAAGCCTATGGGTAGGTAGTGCAGATACTTGTTTATTTATTTAGGTATAGAAATGGAAATAATTTTTAACAGAAATGATTGATCTCGACAAATGTAAACTGATTCTGGAGTCAATTGTATCTAAGAAAGATCTACAAACACAGGTTCATTTTGGAAAGCAATTGATATTTTTAACAGAGCCTATTTTTCTTAAATTAGAATCCTATAGAAGGAATTATCGTATAAAATATGCTAATAAAATAAAAACGTTTTGGATAAAGCATAGTAAGTATAACATCTTACATATACTTTTTTGTTCTTTTCTCAAAATTCTTTTCACAGGACGTAAAATAATACCAGCTATCTCAAAATATTTGGGAACTAACTTTTCAATACAAAATATATACAACATAAACAAAGACAATACAACTGTCAAAATTATGCTTGAAAGTGAATTGAAAACATCAAATTCTTTGGAGGAAGCTCCAGTCGCTCAGAACAATAAGGAAACAAGTCATCTAAATCTGGTAATGGAAAATAAGGAAAATAAAAATAAGAATATAAATAAAAGTCTGAATGAAACTTATTCAGAATATAAGAATGAAAATAAGAATAACTGGCCGAAGATGCTAAATATTTTTGGAAAAGTATATGTCCTTAAAAATTGGCCAAAAATAATTAACCTTAGATATCAACTCAGTGATATACAAACTAAAACTTACTTAAAAACGATCAATTCTGATTATTTTCCAAAACTTGAACATGGTAAAGACTTTCATATGTACAATGATATGATAGATGATAATTGTAATGACAATAACAATAATTTATTGAAACAGCGTTTAGCGTTACATAGTTCTTTAATGAATATAGACTCTGTAAAGAATATCAATGAAAAAGGATATTCTATGTATTGCGAGAAGGTTGGTAATTTTGATATCTTAGTATAATTTTATTGTATTAAAAATTTATTGTTTTCAGGACAAAATTGTTACTATTGAAATAGATTCCTGTTTACTTTTTTATAAGAATCGAATTTTAAGTCGACGACAGCTTGCTGCAGTATGTATTTTAAAATTGTGATAATGTTGAAAAACAACACTGATGGTAAAAATATTTATTTCAGATACCGATAAGGATGCATACTCGGGCTACATGTTTGATTAATTCGCATATATTACCACGTAGTGTATTACCGCAAGGGTTACAAGACTGTCTTTAATAGAGAGGTCAATTTTTTCGGTGAGGTCATGGCTTCAGTCTTTTTCTTATTACTAATTTAATAAATATGTTATAGTTTTCAGCAATATACAGAAGATATTGTTATAAAAACGTACTACTATAAGTAGGGTCATAAATAACAAATCTTAAACTTTATGTATAAATGTGAAATAATGTTTTCTCCCTTTAACGAGAAAATATTACGATGTTTATATGTATTTTGAAACCAAATGAAATCTTTTAAAAAATAATATTTGTTTGTATCAAAGGCTATTCGAATGTAAACGTAAAATTATTATTTAAATCATACACACTGGGACATACAAATCTATAAATAACCATATAATAGATTATAAATATCGAATGATCTCTTTCTTTTATCTTTAAGTACTAATAACCTTCGTGATGCTACTAGAGCAAGCGTAGCTTGTAGTTCACTTCTTAAAATCTGATAATTCGCTCTCAAACTAACACGCCTTAAATTACTAGATGGTACCGGTCGTCCACCGGCGAAGGCAAATCTAAAATTGTATTGCAATATAAAAAAATACATACGGAAATACTTATTCTATCTAATTGATAAATCTAATATAGCTGCATACCTTATTTCTCGTCGTGGACCTCGTAATGTAGAATCAGGAAATGCTGTTTGTCGATCCCATAACAGCCGATTACTTATTACCGGCCTAACTTTAACATATTTTATTTTACTTTTGACAGTGATAGGAAGAGAAATAGGTTTTTTATAACCATTTACCGTACTTTTATAACGAAATGGTAAATATGGTAGTAAAGAATCTCCATAATGTTCCATGAAAGCTTCAATATCTAAAGTATGAGCTTGTGATTTTATAAGAGCACAAATACTAAGCTATAATTGAAAGATACATTAGCAATGGAAAGAAATAATGTAAGAAAATATATTTTAAAGTTAGCTTACAGCTATTTTTTGCCACAGGATAGAACCAGGTAAGGCAAATTTTAAAACAGTATGTACTGAGAGTGGAGAGCCTATCTCTTGTTGGAAAAGCATCAAAGGCTGAATACTAGCTAATAGCTCCATAACCAAAATATGTTTCTTATTACCATTTATATCTACCTTTTCTTCCTTTAAGAGTACGTTCTCCAACATGGGGATATATCTTTGAACAATAAAAATCGATTTTATAACAAGATAATCATTACTGAATAACATCTAAGTGTATAATAATTTATTTACTTATCAGCAATAGATGGCCAACGAAGCATTAATTTTAGCGTGCATTCTTTAAAGAGTGCTTCAAGGTTTGGATTTATGAAACTCTGTCCTAAAAGTAATTCCAATAACAATTCAGTTAACTTATCAACCTGTAATAAAAAAATATTAGAGGTCTTAAAATATCCATTTATCCATAAATCAATTAGTATAATTCATATGATCTTACTGTAGAATATTACCGAAGTTAAGTGATATGGATAAACAGCTTCACTGTTGCTTGCAATTGCAATAATAAGTTGGCATGTTCTTGTTGATACTCTTGTGTATTGCACATTATTCGAAATTATCATAGATCTAGCAATAGACATTAATTTATCAATTACTCCTTCCCCACTCAAATGAACATTAGTGGCACAATCATTAATTAGAACCTATAAATTGTGTATGTTATAATATTTATAGCAGATCACATAGTTGAATATATCATACCTGAAATGTTTTCTGAGATCCATTAAATAATGTTTTCAATGCGCGTTTTGCATAATTATTTCTTGCTTCTGTTAGTCTGGTATCACATATTTCCGATTCTGTTGAATGTGTTATTGATAAATTGCAAATAATGTTAGAATATAATTAAATTAATAAATTAATTAATAAATAAGTAAGGTATACCTTGAATGAAGGGTATACTAGTTTGCAATATGTTAAGTGGATCATTTATTTTTTGTACTAGATTAACAATACGTTCATTAGGAACAAAGACTTTTGCTTCTGTATGGTATTCTGGTAGAGATTCTGGTGCTCCTAATACTGGATCTACATCACATAAATTGGTAATTACAGCGTTTACATCTGTAGACGTTAGACGTTTTCTTTTGCTATGTTTTAATCTTGTTACACATTTCTAAAAATGAATTTCTATCAGCTTCATTCTAACGATAAACATGTATTATATACATATATTTTTTTTAAGAGTAAATTTAATAATAATTCCAGATATAATAATATATGTATAAAACTAATATACATGTAGAACTTCTCTAAGTCGATACGAGGCATCTTCTGCGAGTCTTTTTAATAAAGAATCTGGTAAAGGATGCATTCCCAGTTCTTCTCCAATTGCAGATATCCAGTCTGTACTAAGAACAGCATATCTCCTTGTATTATTATCGTTTGTATTGTTGCTGTTGCTGTCTCCATTATTATTAACGAAAGGGTTACTATATCCTGAACTAGTTTGATTTGTTAACATCTCTTTCATGATTTGAGATTATAAAAAATATAAATATTTCGTCTACAATGATTTTAAAACAATATGGCTGACGAAATGGAAATTGTATCACACATTATAATTTCTTCTAATTGTTTTATAAGATATATGTTTTTATAACGTTTAATAAAAGGCGATAATCAATTAATTCGATATAAAAGTATCGGTTTCCTTTATTAAATTTTATCAAAATCCTATTACAAACTAAACAAGAAATGTAAATTTGTTACATATATACATATTGTCAGATAAACGGATGTTATTTACACACAACATAGCAACTATAAAACCTAAAAATTAAAATTTCGTCCTGAAGATGTCGCCATTACTCGCCAGAAGTTTTCTTCTTTTCTTGTCTATTTTACGAAACAATACATCCTCCATCATTGTCACGTGAAAGCTGACGTTTCATAAAATTTCGAGAGGCACGTCGACCAATCGGAAGTGTCGACAAAATTTACGCACAGAAGTATCACTGACGTGTCCACGAAGCGGAGTCTACTTCAAGGGTTTATGATTATTCTCGATTTGTACAAGTACATTAGTTGGAAAACAACAGCATTTAACGAATTGTGTCTTATTACGGTGTATTTGTAAAGCAACGAAATTATGGCAGCAGTATTGAACACATTTGTGAACTCTTTCACTAAGAAATTGTACGTATATCTTTTCTGTTGAATATTTTTTGTCGAACTATGAACATTTCTATCGATAAGATATTTTTCTCAGATTTACTTTTCTATAATTTTTACTTTAATATTTTCCTTCCTATTGATTTTTCATTATTATTACATTTATATCGCGATTTCTAAAATACATTGATTTACGATGATGTAACTAGGAAGTCGTTAAAGAAACGTTTCGTTTTATAAAAATCGACTGTATCTTTTTTGCGACGCACCTTTGAATAAAATTATTTATCGTGATATGCGTTTTTCTCTTATCTGCGTTACTGGTATGTTGTGTGACCTTCAAACATGTATGTATATTCGAGAACTTCATTAATGTGAATATTTCATGTAGTGAAACTTTTTTTTGCGAGCATAGTATGTATGACGTGTTACGAGTAAGTAAGTACATCGAGCGTGAATGTCTTTGTAAAGTTATAATTATACTTTTCTTTACGAATCGTCTTGAACTTTATTTTCTCTTACACCTTTTATTCGTTTCTTAAATCTCATTTAAACTATTAATTTTAGCTATTGCTATAATCTTAATACCACACCCTATCACCTAAGACCAAAGTCTAAGACTATACTTGATGTAGTTATAAAATTTTTCATTTTCCTTACAAAGGATTCCCAAATATGTAGAAAATGTGATAAAGATTTATGATTGTAGGGAACCCCCAGTTAGGCAACACTTGAAAAATGTCTATGGATGTCTGTCCATGTCAATGCTATCAGCTGCTGGAGGAGTTTACATTCACATGTTCTCAGAGCTCTTGCGAGCCAATTTGTTAACGACTCTTGCTACATTGGGTCTGCTTTTTACTTTAATTAATACACCAGACAATGGAAAAAATCAAAAGTTACGACTTAGCTATCTCCTGGGATTTGCATTCTTTTCTGGGCTTGGTCTGGGTCCTTTACTTCAATTGGTTATGAGTGTCAATCCAACTGTTATAGTAACTGCACTGATTGGTAAGTTATTGTTATTTAAATTTATCTTTGAAAATGTATCTATTATTATTATTACATATTGTGATATCATGTTATGGTTATTGAATCATACTATTAAACTATATCAATGTTTATCATGATTATTTTTTCAGGAACAATTGTTATATTTGTATCATTCAGTATTTCCTCCCTTTTGGCTGAAAGAGGACGTTGGTTATATCTTGGTGGTACCTTAATTAGCTTGCTGAATATTATGGTTTTGTTTTCATTTGTCAATCTATTTTTACGTTGGACCATTTTCTACCAAGCCTATTTATATATTGGACTGTTTTTAATGTGTGGTTTTGTTATTTATGATACACAATTGATTATTGAAAAATACCACATGGGTAGCAAAGATTTTATTCTACATTCTCTAGATCTATTTGTAGATTTCGTCAACATTTTCCGTCACCTCCTCATAATCCTTACACAGAAGGTAAAAGTTAGAAACAATATATACAAATATTATTCTATATGTCGTCCTAATTCTTAACTGTTCTAATTCCATTTTGCAAAAAAATATAATTAATATATCTTACTGGTACAAATTTATGAAAATTCTACTTAGAAAGCAACAAATATTCAATTCTTTTAAGTCCTAACTCATCACAATCATATTAATCTTCATAAACTTTGAATTCAATATACAAACTAATAGAGATAGAATAGTTAAGAATTACAATGACTATGTACAATGTAAATTTCCTAGTATGTAATAAGTGTGGGTTGCTGTGATGAAATGAATGTGAACTAATACTTATTATTCTTTTACTCCATTATAGGAGATATTAAAAGATCAACGTAAACGCAGAGATTAAATGAGAGCAAAGGAAGCTGTAAGATATCATACCATTCAAGTAAATCCATGAACTAGACGTCTTCATCCTATCTATCCATATGTAAAACGTATATTTACTATGATAATATGAATTAAAATAATACAGCTTATTCATTACATCGTAAAATTTTTAGGCATACGTTCGCCATAAAAACGCAATGTATTTGTTTCAAATTACTTAGTTATCATTTCTTTTTCCAATTATTTATTAGGTTTATATACATGTATACATAAATAGACATAAATTTATTGTACTATATTTTTATCTTTCAATAAACAAAATTTCCCAGCGTCCCTAGTCTTTTTTTATGTCTAAAAATGGTATTTGTAAATACAAAAAATAATATAAGATTTAGTGTTAGAGAATTGAAGTCTTATTTATTAAAATGTAACTTTACACATATGATGATCATTTACATACGTATATAAAACACAAAAATTACACGTCACACATCGATTGTTGTGAATATATAAAAAATGTTCGAGAAAACAAATCGATGATAATGAAGTGTAACACATGATTTCTGTGTTATGACAAATTTACATACATTAAGATTGTGTACAAATTGTGTACAGTACGTCAATAAGTGATTTATTTATCAATCACTTTATAAATTACATTTAGTAAGGGCGCTGACGATCCCTATCTCTGTCTCCTCGGCTGAAATGACACAAGAAAAATGAATGACAATTTGTTATTTTCAATGACACATCTAGTACAACTAAATAATTATAGGAACCAACCCTCCACCGCCTCTCATTGGACCACCTCGTCCGCCCCTTCCACCCCTGTCTCCACCACGGAAACCTCCTCGACCACCCCTATCTCCACCTCGACCACCTCTGTCACTTCTGAAGCCTCCTCGACCACCTCGATCTCCACCACGATTTCCTCTTCCACCCCCACTACTACTACCAGCACCTTCTGGTTTTAGACTTTTGCAGAGGTTACACTGGTCCCTCCAAGCAAAGTTTGTATTACCACATTCTGGATTGGGACACCTATTTAAACAATATAAAACAAATTTATAAAATATTTAATTTATAGTAGACTATATATATATCATTATATAGATAAAACCGTACCTCCAATCTCCTCCACGACCACCTCCATCACGTCTATCATCACCACCACCACCACGATGATGATCATCTCTGTCACCGCCACCTCCACGACTTCCAAAACCACCACTTCCACGACCTCGACCACCTCCACCACGACTTCCACCACTACGATTACCTTGCCAACTGCTCTTGTGCTGGGCAATTTGTACTTTTATAGTTCGACCTTTGAATTCTTTTCCATCAAACCAGTCTATGGCAGAACGCGCAGCGTTCTGATCATCGTAAGTCACGGTAGCTTCGCCTTTCGATTTACCAGTGTTTTTATCTTTGTACATCCACACTTTGGGTTTTCCTGTCCGCTTGTCATTCTGTACACATTGAAAGATATTAAGGTTAAATGTTTATTTATATAATATACTTTGTGATTACTATCATTATTTGTATATAGTGACTTACCTTGATAATACCAATGGCTCCAAAGTGTTGACAAATTTCTTCTTCTGAAATTGAAGGATCCATACCAGATACAAAAATAGTATCTTCTTGTGTAACCATCCCATCGTTGCCACCACCGCGGTCACCGTAGCCCCCTGTAATTTGATAGGAGTTAACATTTCACCTAGCATAGTACTCCTTGAAGTAAGGAATAATACTTGCAAATCTACTGTCCCTAAACCTACTCAAGTCTAAGCTAACAAGTGGAAAACTTTTGTATCGGGTTAAAAACAACTAATAACACAGTACACCTTGGAGGAATGAAATTTTGCAAACCATTTGGAATTTTAATCTAGTATGCTTTTTTTTATATTATAAGAAAATCCCATATAAATACCTCTCCCTAATGTATCCACATTTCATATTTAAGATAATTTTAAAATGGTAAGTAAACTTAAGCACTATTATTTTAAGCAATTAAATACTTTGTTCCTCTTTCTTCTTGTAGTATTACCAATATATTTAGAAGTTATTACTTATTGTAACAATGAAAATGTAATAACTCTTACTTTCTTTAATGACCATTGCCCACAAATAGTGTTTCCAAGTGAAAAGAAACTTCTTTTCTATTATTATATACCAAAAATTTTGTAATTTATGTATGTTTAAAAACATACAATTACTTTGACATTAGTTTTTGTTTCAGGATACATAAATTTTGTCTTGCCTACTAATAAGTGATATCTCATGACAACACTTAAGCTTTCTTAATTTGTTCATTTATTACACCTCTATTATTTGATATACATATTATTATGTCTTCAATACCTTGTATAAAATTATCAATTCAAAGGCTTTTTTTTCTGTTCGACCCGTGCAGTAACAAAAGTATTAGTACTCATTGGCCTAACATTCTTAGTAGCATATAACAATATGTAGAGAACACAAGGTTGCAGCTTAACATACAAAAGGGCTGCAACATTATTTTTATTCTTACCATTTCCCTATATTGTATTTTTGGGAAGCCTTGATTAATTAGGGATAGGTAGATATTTAATTCACCAGCTGCCTTTTATATTTGCTTAATATTATCCTGAGTTATATTTTAAAATATTA